AATATCTATATTTGTAGCATGCTGTAGTCAGTTCCAAGAGAATGCAAACTGTTTCTGATCTTCCTTTTGGATGGGATTGGAAAGGAACATATTCACCAGGTTAATAACTGTATACCACTGCTCTATCAAAGATGCCATACCTGCTCCAATGATAAAATTAGTACAAATATTTGGTTAGATTTGCAATAGGTTATTTTCAAGATCCATCTGGATTTTGTATAAGCCGTGCTGGTAAATTAAATAGAGATATGATGGAGTCCAGCACCACTTCATCCTTTAAGTATTTGAGGGTGGCATGATTCTTTGCAATTTTCCTCATGATGTAATATTCTTTTTGATTTACTGGTTGGAGGAGGGAAAACAGCTTCAGAGGTTTATCCTTGGTCTTCCATGTGGTCATTACTCTTATCTCACAGGCCAAGGAACCAATGTGGTGCTTTTACCAATTTCTCAGTATGTTCATTTTAATTACACGTTTAGTGACTGGGAATATAACCACTGGTAGGTCTGTGAAATCATGGCACTCACTATGAGCTGGATCTGAGCCATGATCATGTTTTACATTCTTGGATATCAGCACCAAATTTGTCCCTATATCCAACTGTCCTCAAAATATGTGGGTATTCTTCTTTCCCCAGGGTATAGTTTCCTTAGTAAATGGATTTACATCTGATTGAAGTAGATCTGGGTGAGTTATTTTCAAATGCACCTCTTTTGATGTTGCAGATGTTTTCTGTTTTCCCCTGGAAGGTATTTCCCTACACACTCTTCCTAAGGCTACCTAATGGCTTGGCTTCTAATTAATTGGCATTGAGAGTTAAAGGAACAGGCAAGTAGCAGACTGTAAGCAGTCTGAGCAGGGGTTTGGCACTTGCCAAGACTTCTCCCACTTGTCCCAGGATTAACTCCAGGCCCACCAACTCCTCCTCAGGGCAGTTTGCCTTGGTCACCCCAGCTTTTATAGCCCTTACCCAAGGAATGGCATTCTAGACCTCCTGACTCTGGGAGCAGAGAGGACCGAACATATGCAATTCTTCCTAGAGCACAGAACAAAGAGGTGATTTTAAATGGGTTTGCAGCCATTTCCAGGAGCTATACCTCCTACAAGCAGCAAGAAGAAGGCATTAAAAGGGCAGTTATTAGGCCGGGCGCGGTGGCTCAAGCCTGTAATCCCAGCACTTTGGGAGGCCGAGGCGGGTGGATCACGAGGTCAAGAGATCGAGACCATCCTGGTCAACATGGTGAAACCCCGTCTCTACTAAAAATACAAAAAATTAGCTGGGCATGGTGGCACGTGCCTGTAATCCCAGCTACTCAGGAGGCTGAGGCAGGAGAATTGCCTGAACCCAGGAGGTGGAGGTTGCGGTGAGCTGAGATCGCGCCATTGCACTCCAGCCTGGGTAACAAGAGCGAAACTCTGTCTCAAAAAAAAAAAAAGGGCAGTTATTTTTCTCTGGAAAGGATTTTTCTGTACACCCTGCTGGGAGCTACCTGACAGAGTGGCTTTTAACTAACGTGTATCAGGGAGTTAAAGGGGCAGACAAACAGTAGACCTCTAAAACCCTGAACAGGAGCTCAGCACTTCCTGAGGATTCCCCCGCTGGTAATCCAGATCTACTAATTCTTTATGGAATGAATTTGTCCATGCACTAGTGTCACAACTTCTATAGCTCCCACCATGAGACTGCCTCTTTAACTGCCTAGTTCTAGGAGTTGTTGGGGCTCTGCATTTAGGAATCTCCATAGACCACATAAAACAATCAGGTGAACATACAATGGACCCACTGCCAGTGGCCATCCTCCCTCAGGGTCAGAAGGTGCAGCCTGTATGTGAGTGAAGGCACTTGCCTCAGATTCTCTCCTTGGCTTAGTGCAGAAAGAGTGGAAGATAAACATCCACCCTCAGCTACACCATGAAGATGGAAGGGATTGGAACATGCATGTAACACCCCAACTTTTCCAGATTTATCTGTAGGGTACGTCCACTATTTTACCTACTTTGGGGTTACCGATAGGACATGGCCCATCCTAATTTCCTGGGGGCCAACAAAAACGTATAGTAGCTTGGTTAAACACAAAGATCCGAAAGGTACCTTAGACTTTCTGGCCAATTAGGTTGGTGATATCCTTCTCTGATACAAGACCAGTCTTGACAACACTGAAAAAGAAAGCTGTATCTAATGCTCAGAAACCAGCACAGATAGTCAAAAAAAAAAAAAAAAAAGAAGAAACAGGGAAATATGTTCCAAATAAAAGAGCAGGATAAATACCTAGAAATCAATCCTAGTGAAATAGAAATGTTATTTACCCCATAGAGAATATTTTTAAAGGTCATAAATATGCTCACCAAGGTCAAGAGAATAACTAAAGAACAAACTGAGAATTTCAACAAAGATATAGAAAGTACAAAAATGTATCAAACAAATCATAGAGTTGAAGAACTGAACTGGAAAATGCAATCAAGTGGTTGAACAGCAGATTGGAGCAAGCAAAAGGAAAAAAAATCAGTGAACTTAAAGACAGGTCACTTGAAATAATCAGTTCTGAGGAGCAAAAAGAAAAATGAGTGTAAAATGGTGAAGATGGCTTAAGGGTCTCATGAGAGACGATTAGATTGAACAATATACACATTATAGTGTGCCAGAAGGAGGAGAGAGGGAAAGAAAAAAAAACATATTCAAAGAAATAATGGTAGAAAATGTCCCAACCCTGGGGAAGGAAATGGAAATTCAGATCTAGGAAGCCCAAAGGACACTAAATGAGTTTAATACAAAGAGACCCACTCTAAGACATGTCTCAATCATGTTAACAATAACATAACTCAATCATGTTAACAGTCAAATTGTTAAAAGTTAAAGATAGAGTTTTGAAAGCAGCTAGGGAAGAGTGAATTGTTACATACAAGGGAACCCCCATGAAATGATCACAGATTTTTCAGCAGAAATCTTGGAGACCAAATGGGAATGGAAAGATACAGTCAAAATCCTGAAAGCATAAAAACCTGCAAACCAAGAATACTATATCCAGTTATCCAGTATTTCAAAAATGAAGGGGAGATAAAGACTGTCTCAGACAAACAAAAACTGAGATAGTTTACCACCACTAAATCTGCTTTGAAAGAAATGCTAAGGGGAGTTCCTTCAAGATGAAGGAAAATAATGCTAATTAGTAACATGAAAACACAGGAAAGTATAAAACTCACTAGTAAAAACAACTACATTGTAAAATTCAAAAACACCCTAAAAATGTAATGTTGGTGGGAAAATTAAGTATATCTCTAGTATAAAGGCTAAAAGACAAATCTAGTAAAACCATAGCTACAAAAACTTATTAAGAAATACAAATACTTTGGGGACTTGGGGGAAGGATAGGAAGAGGGTGAGGAATAAAAGACTGCACACTGGGTATAGTGTATCCTACTTGGGTTATGGGTGCACCAAAATCTCAGAATCACCACTACTTATCCATGTAACAAAAAATCACCTGTTCCACAAAAACTACTGAAATAAAAAAATAAAAAATATTTCCTGTCCATACAAACAATACAAATAATCAAAAAACATAAATTGTGCTATCTAAAGCATAAAATATGGAGAGAGAGGGGAAGCAAAAGAGTAGAATGTTGTGTATGCAATCAAAATTATATTGCTATCAACTTATAGCCTGTTATAAGTATGCAGTGTTTTATGTAAGCATGAAGATAACCACAAAACAAAACCCTGTAAAGGACCAAAGCCTATAAAGTAGTTAAAAGATAAAAAAGAGAAGCTTCAAAGTATACTGCTTCAGAATACATCATGCCACAAAGGGAAAAAAGTAAGAAAGGAAGAAAAGAATAAATAACCTACAAAATAATCAGAAAACAATGAACAAAATCACATTAGTCCTTATCAATAATTACTTTGAATGTAATTGGTTAAATTCTCCAATCAAAAGGCATGGAGTGGCTGAATGGATTAAAAAAACAAAACACCAAAAATTCCAACTATAAATTGCCTACAAAAGACTTACTTCACTTTAAAGAATACTCATAGACTGAAAGTAAATAAATGAAAAAGATAATTTATGCAAATGAAAACCAAAAGAAAGCATTAGTAAACTTATATCAAACAAAATAAGCTAACTCAAAAACTGTAAAAAGAGCTGATGAAAGTCATTATAAAATGGTAAAGGTGTCAATTCATTAAGAGGGTATAACAATTTTAAGTATATATGAACCTAACATTGGAGCCCCTAACTGAAGCAAACATTAAAAGATCAGGAAAAAGAAATAGAGTGCAATACAATAATGGTAGGGAATAATATCCCACATTTAACAATAGATCATCCAGATAGAAAAATCAATAAGGAAACATTAGACTTGAATGCTTTAAACTAAATGGGTTAACAGACACATGTAGATCATTGCATTCAACAGCAAGAGCATACATTGTTCTCAAGTGCACATGGGACATTATCCAGGATAGATAATACATTAGATAACAAAACACGTCTTAACAAATTCAAGAAGTTGGAAATTATACAAAGTATCTTCTCAGACAACAATGGTATGGGACTAGAAATCAATTAGAGGAGAAATCATGATAAGTTCATGAACGTGTGGAAATTAAACTTATGCTCACGAACAACTATTGGGTCAAAGAAGAAATTAAAAGATATCATGAGACAAGCAAAAATGAAAACGCAGCATTCCAAAACTACTGAGATGCAACCAAAACAGTTTTAGGAGGCAGTAAATGGTTACATTAAATAACAAAAAATATCTCAAATCAGCGCCTTAATGTTATACTTCAAGGAACTAGCAAAAGGAGTACTAAACCCAAAGTTAGTGGAAGGAAGAACTTTTTAAATAAAGGATCTTCTTAACAAAGACCAGAACAAACATAAGGAAAATAGAGACAAAAGCCCCTTCCCCCACAACAGGAAGGGAAAAGAAAAAAAAAAAAAAAAAACCCCAACAAAATAATTACTTTTTTGAAAAGATAAAAAAATGGACAAACCCTAAGCTAAATCAATTAAAAGAAGACTGAAATAAAATCAGAAATGAAAGAGGAGGCATTGCAACTGATAACACAGAGGTGCAAAGAATCATAACAGACTGCTATGAACAAGTGCACACAACAAATTGGATAACCTGGAAAAAAGTGGATAAATTTCTAGAAGCATAATTCACCAAAACTGAAACATAAAGAAATTGAAAATCTTTATATACCCAAAATGAGTAAGAAGATTGAATAAAATGTCTCCTGTCAAAGAAAGTCCAGGGCCAGATGACCTCACAGCTGAATTTTACCAAGCATTTAATGAAGAATTAACACTACTCCTTCTCAAGCTCTTCCACAAAATTGAAGAGGAGTGAACACTTCCAAACTCATTTTATAAGGCCAACATTACCCTGATACAAAAGCCAGACAAAGACACTACAAGAAAAGAAAACTACAGGGCAATATCCCTGAATAACATAATTGTAAAATCCCCCCCAAAAACATTGGCCAGCCATATTCAATTGCACATTCAAAGGATCATTCATCATGATCAAGTGGAATTTATTCCTGGAATGCAAGAAGGGTTCAACATAAGCAACTCAATAAATGTGGTTCACTATGTTAACAGAATGAATGACAAAAATCATACGATCATCACAGATGCAGAAAAAGCATTTGACAAAATTTAACATTCTTTCATGATAAAGATTCTTAACAAAATAGGTATAGAATGAATGTTTCTCCACACAACAAAGGCTATATATGACAGTTCCAGAGCTATCATCATACTCAATTGTGAAAAGTCGAATGCTTGTCTTCTAAAATCAAGAACAAGAAAAGGATGCCCATTTTCACCACTCTCTATTTAACATGGTACCGGAAGTCATAGCCAGAGCATTTAGGCTAGGAAAAAAAAATAATAAATGGCATCCAAATAGGAAAGGCAGAAGTAAAATTGTTTCTGTTTGCTGATGATATGATCTTATATATAGAAAACCCTAAAGACCCCACCAAAAAACCTTCCAGAATTGATAAATTCAGTAAAGTTTCAGGTTACAAAATCAACACACAAAAATCTGTAGCATTTGTATACACTAATAATAAACTATCTGAGAAAGAAATTGAGAAAAGGATCACACTTACAGTAGAATTTAAAAATACTCAGGAGTAAATTTAACCAAGGAGTTGAATGATTTGTATACTGAAAACCATAAAACACTGATGATATAAATTAAAGACACAACTAAATGGAAAAATATTTCCTGTTCATAAATTGAAAGACTTCATATTGTTAAAATGTTCATACTAACCAAAGACATCTACAGAGTCAATGCAATCCCTATTAAAATTATAATGTCATTCTTCCCAAAAAAGAAAAAACACTCCTAAAATTCATATGGAACCACAAAAAACTCCTAATAACTAAAGCAATCTTGAGCAAAAAGAACAAAACTGAGGGCATACCATCTGACTTCAAACCACAGGCGTACCTCATTTTATTGTGCTTTGCTGTAAGGAACATGGCTGCACTGCAGCCAGGCAGACATAGGCTGAGGTAAACATCCTGCATGACTAGCAGGACTGGAGCACAGGTGCACAATCCAGTGCCTTACATAATTATCGCTATGTAGATATAACATAGAGAAGCTCATCACCTGGCTGTCGGCCACAATTGTGAGATGTATAAATGTAACACTGACACTGTGAAAGAGCTGCTGAATAAAGCCATGTCTCCTCTACCTGCTGTCTCTTGAGTGTTCTTCTAGCTCCCTGCCCCCTATCCACCCACTCCCCTTTGACCTCAGCTGGGGCTTGAACCTGATAATTGGTGTAGTTGTCAAGATGAGGTGAGTGGATTTTCAGCCTCTGAGGCTCCCAGGTTGGCTATGTGGCTGCACCATGGGCTGTGGTACCTGGTGGCAGAGCTGCTGTTTTGATGGACTCCAATGGAAACATGGGAGGCAGTGGATGGGTCTTCTGTGAGTGTGGAGAAGGCACTGAAGCAGCTGGAGGCACACAGCACCAAGAAGGAATGCACCTTTGCCGGCAGAGTCAGATGGGTGTTTCTGACTCCACTTTATGAAGTATGTGCTCTGTCCTTGCAGGACACACGCAGCTAAAAGACCTCCAGGCACAGGCTGATCACCTGGGGGCCCAAATGCACAGCTTGGAGCAAAACCTGGAGGTGAAGGACCTCCAGGTGCAAGTTGGGCACTTACAGGCCCAGATAAACAGCCTGGAAAAGGAATTAGCAACAGCTTTCAGTACAACCTTGAGCCCATCCTCCTGGCGGGACACTTCCATTCAGTGTGATGCTGAGGAAGAAGAGGCTTCTCTGCTGCATGCTCATCCGGTGATCCTGTCAGAAGGTCGAATATGAGCAGCCAATGGGACTCAGGGGAAGAGCCCAGGGACCCCTCGCAGTGGCGGAACACACTACTTATACTGCTTATACCCCCAGTGAATTGCAAGAGTTAGGTAAACAGTGCTGGCAGTGTCTGGGGCAACCCCTCCCTGCCTGGTTACTCCATCTTTGGGATGAAGGAGTTGACATTCCCACTCTGCCTCCGAGACGGAGAAGCTGGCATCTATCACAATTTACCCCTCCCTTCATCAGTGGCTGCAGCTGTGCCAATGGTTAGCACAGGGGCAAGATGAGCACATTTTTAATTGAGTGGTTGAAGGCAGCCATGCAGACTGTTGGGAATGATGCTGGAGAAATATCAGAAACTGAGTAAATAGCAATCATATACCTGTACTAATTTGGTGCAGATACTCCGGGGGATGGGTATGCGGCAGGCTATGTTTGAGCTGAATACCCAGAGGCCAGATGATGAACACTTTGCTTCCCACATAAGGGATCTTGTGCTGGGCTCAGCACCCCCAAATGCCTTTGCCTCCCTGGCTGCTGTCCTCACCCCATATGTGGGGTACGACACACATGAAGTGACTACTGCTATGGCAGCCCTTGGGGAGGCAGAAGGCCATTGGTAGGACCAGGGAATCTGTGCCATAAAAAAGGGGAAGGTGCCCCCTCCACAGGTAACCACTCCACAAGATAACAAGGGGCCCCAGTGGGTGACCCGCAAGAAGGTGTGGTTTGATTTACTTTCAGCTGGGGTTGCTTGAGAGAAAATTGACAGTCAAACCAATGGAATGCTCTTAACTCTGTGGAGGCAATTGTCCCCAGAGAAAAAATTCTGGAAAATGCCCAAGAAGGGGCAAAACAATGTTGTTCAATCTAATCCTGTCCAGTTGCTGCAGCTCAAGGACTATTTGCAGATGGGCAGAGATATGGAGCCTTTCTTGTTTGATTAGAGAACTTGCTTGGGAGCAAGTGGGGGTGGACAACGAGAGGCCATATGTGGAGCTGGCAATCCACTGGTCCCCCACTAATGTACCGCAGGTTCTAGCACTGGTAGATACTGGTGTAGGTTGCAGTCTAGTTTATAGGAACCTAGGAAGTTTCCGGGCAAAGCTGCATTCATTGATGGTTATGGGGGCCAGTCAGTGAAGGTGAAACCTGTTTCTCTGCATGTTGGCATTGGCCACTTGGCTCCCCATCTATACTCTGTGTATGTCTCTCCTATACCTGAATATATTCTGGGCACGGACATATTGCATGGTCTGGACTTACACACTACGGCCAGAGAATTCAGACCTCGAGTCTGTATAGTAAAGCCGGTGCTGCGTGGCTTCACCTGGGGCATCACCAGCCCCAAGTTCTGCCACAACCCTGACCGGTTACCTCCGCTCATCAATGCTGTTTGCCAGGGAGACATGCAGAGATAACCGAGACTATCAAGAAGTTAGGGGAGGTGCAAATAGTGCGTGACACCCGTAGTCCCTATACTTTCCCAGTATGGCCAGTCAGAAAGCTTAATGGGACTTGGTGGATGACAGTTGATTATTGGGAACTGAATAAAGTAACACTGCCTCTGCATGCAGCTGTACCCTCCCCATCACGGATTTGATGGACTGCTTGACAACAGGACTGGGACAGTAGCACTTTGTGGTGGACTTAGCTAATGCAGTCTTCTCCATTGACATTGCTCCAGAGAGCCAGGAACAGTTCACCTTCACATGAGAAGGACGACAATGGGCTTTCACTGTGCTGCCACAGGGCTATGTGCTTAGCCCTACCATTTGTCATGGTCTTGTTGCCATGGATTTAGCTGCCTGGAAATGCCCAAAACGGGTCTGCCTGTTTCATTACATTGATGATATGTTAACCTCTGGTTCTCTAGCAGATTTAGAAATGGCAGTGCCCCTCTTGTGGCAACATTTGGCAGCATGCAGTTGGGCCATCAATGAATCCAAGTTCCAAGCCTGAATTGTCTGCCACATTCTTGGAAGTTATTTGGTCAGGTAAGACAAAGGCCATCCCAGAGGTCATCATTGATAACATCTAGGCACACCCCCAACCCCACAGTGAGGCAGCTGCAGACTTTTGTGGGCCTCTTGGGGTATTGGCAGACATTTGTGCCCCATTTGACTCAAAAAAAACCATTGTACAAGTTAACAAAAAAGGGGATTGGGATGATGAGGCTGAAAGAGACTTTCTGACCACAAGTGGGCCATTTGGCAAGCACAGGTCTTACAAATAATCGATCAGGGGTATCCATTTGAACTTGATGTACATGGAACCACAGATGGTTTTGACTGGGGCCTATGGCAGTGCACGGAGCACTTTAGAACACCAGTAGGTTTTTGGGAGCTGAGCTCCAGTATTCATTAATAGAGAAGCAATTCGCTGCTGCATATGCTGTTCTTCAGGCCTGTGAGAGCATGATGGGTTGGGCTACAGTCATCGTGTGGATGACTTACCCAATAGTAGGGTGGGTACGTTCATGGGTAATGACCCCCTGGACTGGGATGATAAACATTTACGTTAGCGAACTGGGGTGCCTACTTGGAGCAGCATAGTACAATCCATTAGCAGCAGAATTACAAGAAGTCTTGGGACCTGTAGTCCTAATGCAAGATAAGGCCATGGGGCCTGAGGCACCCCAGACCTTGAGCCATCATCATTCAAGAAAAGGTTTTCTCCCATTCCTGATGGGGTATGGTATACAGATGGGTCCAACCAGGGTGCTACTGCTGCCTGGACTACTGTAGCAGTCCAGCGCAGCACTGACATCATATGGTTTGATACTGGGTGTGGACAAAGCAGCCAATGGGCTGAACTCAGAGTGGTATGGACAGTGATAAACAGAAGGATTCACCTATGGTATTGTGCAGCAATAGCTGGGGAGTCTATCAAGGTTTAACCTTGTGGTTGACTACCTGGAAGTTACAGAATTTGCTTATAGGCCATCGGACCATTTGGGGCCAAACCATGAGGCAAGACCTCTGAGAAAAATGTAACTATATATCATATGTAAGGCCATATGCCTTTGGCCACCGCTGGTAATTGTGAGGCAAACACCTTCATCAAGGTCCAATGGTTAGAGTTGGCACCTACATGAGATGTGGCCTTGTGGTTACAACAGAAACTGGGACATGCAGGGGGTATACTGATGCAACAGGTCATAAGCTCTGAGGTCTGTGTTTGTCCTTGAAGGACATTTTGGAGACTTGCCAGAATTGCCCAGCATGTTCTCAGGCATACCCCAGACAGAGACAACTGCCCAGTATAACACAACAAGTGATAGTAGGGCAGATGCCCTTGACCAGATGGCAATTAGATTACATTGGGCCATGGCCAAAATGGCAGGGCTACACATGTACACTGATGGCAGTAGACACAGCCACTGGCTTATCGTTCACCTACCCTTGCAGGGTGGCTGACCAGCAACACAACATTTGAAATCTGCAACACTTACGTGGCCATCCCCTGGCCATTAAACATAATAGTGGAACACATTTTGCTGGACAGCAGGTACAACAGTGGGCACAGCCAATGGACATACATTGGGGGTTCCATGTTCCTCAGAACCCACAAGCTGCTGGCATGATTGAGCAATATAATGGATTCCTGAAGAATGGGTTATGTTTGCATGTTACTCCCCCACCTTTGTGGGGCTGGAGTTCCAGGTTGGACCTGGTGCTTCAAATCTTGAATAAGCAGCCAAGGAAAGGTGGCTGGGCCCTGGTGGGGGCACAGTTACACCAGGCTACCGCCCCCATCCAGCTACAGATACACACCAAGGATGACCTCCTCTGGCCAGGTATAGGGACAAATAGTAATCTACTGTTGCCAGCCCCAATACTCCTGAAGGCAGGGGAGCAGAAAACCTGACGTTGGCCATGAACCCTCCAAGCCCCCCATTGCAGATGATTGGCTATCACACCCCCTGCAGGGAGGGTCTGCAATATGACTTACATGTTACTCCTTGGATATTTCATGTGTGCCTCCAAACTGACTGTTCATAGGGGAATGGCCAGGGAAGGGACCCTTCTCTAGGGGACATAAGTACTGTCTGTGTGGCCTATTATAACCTCCCCTGTGACTTTGGTGTGGGTACAAGACCCAAAAGAATCATGGGGAGCTGAAAAGCTGTGGTACCATTAGCCCTTGGCAGCTGCATTGTTATCCAGGGATGAAAAGTTAGCTTGTATTCTGTCTGAGGGACATGATCCATCCCTGTTAGTATCTGTGCCTGCTTTGTTGTTTTGGCCATAGGTTGGCATGCTCCAACAGCATCGTGGACTGAGTCCACACCTATGCTGAGGTGACAAATGTCTCCAACTGTTGGATCTGCACCACCCTTCTAGCAGCAGCTGCAGACGACTTGCCTTGGTATGTGCATTCAGCTTCTGTGAAGAACTGGACGTGGCTAGAAATTCGAGGTCCCACAAACAATGGGTGGGATGCAACATGGTGAGCTTTGGACAGGGGCTTTGCAAAACCCATGGCAAGCCTGCCCCCTGGCTGACTCATAGCATCCATGATGAATGGGGCTGCCTAATGGGAGAACACGTGGTGGTCCCATTGCAGGCACCACGATGTAGAGAGCAACATTGGGGTAAGGTCACTATGGGATGGTTGACCACTGAGGTCTGTACAAACATAACACATGCCACCACACCATGGGTGTGGTGGAACAAGCGACTTACCAAGGCTGGGCCTCCATGGACTTTATGCTCTCTGGGAGTTCATGGGTCTGTGGGACACAGGATGGCCATATCTGACAGCCAATTGGACTGGACGTTGTACCTGAGGGTGGGCTTCTGTGCCTGCCACTGTGCTTCCCACATTGCTTAGTCACCCACATAACCAGGAGGCACTATGTTCCTGGCTTTGTGAGTGCAGTAGCCCCCTGGTGTTTCCACCCCTTAGCACGTGTCATCACTGCAGAAATGCAGGTTACAGCCCTTGCAGAGCACACAGATTGGGTCCTGAATTACACCTGAATTGCCCTCCTTTTGTTAACTGATGACATTGATCAGATCAGGAAGGTGGTGATGCAAAAACAAATAGCCTTAGACATAGTCACAGCAGCTCAAGGCAACACCTGTGCCCGTGTTGGGACACAATGTTGCACATTCATCCCTGACGACCACCAGAACATAAAGTCAGCTTTGCAGGGTGTGTCATGTCACAGGAGATTTAGGCGATTGAGTACTTTACTAATGCCCTTCTACAGAGATGGTGGGCATTTCTGGACTCTGACCTATGTTGGGCTCTCATAATCACAGGTAGCATAGCAGGAATATTAGTAGTAGGTCGTTGCTCTCTGTATTGTTGCTGTGTCTTAAGGGTCCAGGGTGGTGCCCTATGTGCATGGGTTCCCACTAAGAGGATCTCCTTGGCCTAGGGGGTGGAGTGTAAGAAACATGGCTGTGCTGCAGCTAGGCAGGCACAGGCTGAGGTAAACATCCTGCCTGACTCAGCAGGATTGGAGCACAGGCACACAATCCTGTGCCTTATATAATCACAGCTAGGTAGACATAACATAGAGAAGCTTGTCACCTGGCTCTCAGCCACTGTCATTTGTGAGGTGTATAAATGTAATACTGACATTGTGAAAAAGCTGCTGAATAAAGCCATGTCTTATCTACCTGCTATCTCTGGAGTTCTTCCAGCTCCCTGCCCCCCTCTCCCATCTACCCACTCCCCTCGGACCTCAGCTGGGGCATGAATCTGACATTTTCTTTATTTCACTTTGCAGATTCTTTAAAAACAAAAACAAGTTAAAAGTTTGTGGAACCTTGTGTTGAGCAAGCCTATTGGTGCCATTTTGTCCTCACTTTATGTCTCAGTCACATTTTGGTAATTCTTGCAATATGTCCATTTTTGTCATTATTATGACAAACACACTATCTGTTATAGTGGTCTCTGATCAGTGCTTTTTGATGTTACTATTGTAATGCTTTGCAGTGCCACAAACTGTACCCATGTAAGATGGAAAGCTTAATAGATGAATGTTGTGTGTGTTCTGATTGTCCCAATGACCAAGTGTTCCCTCATCTCTCCCCTCTTTGGGTATCTCTATTCCCTGAGACACAACAACATTGAAATTAGGCCAAGTAATAACCCTACAATGGCCTCTAAGTGTTTAACTGAAAGGAAGAGTCACACGTTTCTCACTTTAAATCAAAAGCTAGAAATTATTATTAAGCTTAGTGAAGAACACATGTCAGAAGCCAAGACAGGCCAAAAGTTAGGCCTCTTGCACCAAACAGCCAAGTTGTGAATGCAAAGAAAAAGACCTCAAGGGATATTTAAAGTGCTACTCCAATGAACATATGACTAAAAAGAAACAGAAACTTCCTTACTGAAATGGGGAAAGTATTAGTGGTCTGGATAGAAGATCAGCTACACAGTTCCCGTAAACCAAAGCCTAATCCAGAGAAAGGTCCCAACTCTCTTCAATTCTGTGATAGGTGAGAAAGGTAAGGAAGCAGCAGAAGTTGGAAGCTAGCAGAGGTTGGTTCATGAGGTTTAAAAGCCTCCTTTGGAACACACAAGGTGCAAGGTGAAGCAGCGAGTGCTGATATAGAAGCTACAACAAGTTTTCCAGAAGGCCTAGCTAAGATAATCAGTGAAGGTGGCTACACTAAACAACAGATTTTCAAGGTAGACAAAACAGTCTCCTATTGGAAGGAGGTGCCATCTAGGACTTTCATAGCTAGAGAGGGTAAATCAATGCCTGACTTCAAAGCTTCAAAGACAGGCTGACCTCCTTGTTAGGGACTAATGCAGCTGGAGACTTTAACTTGCAGCCAATGCTTATTTGGAAATTATTCTGGAAATTCTGGGGCCCTTAGAATTACACTAAGTCTACTCTTCCTGTTCTCTATAAATGCCTGGATGACAGCACATCTGTTTACAGCATAATTTATCAAACATTTTAAGCCCACTGTTGAGGTATAGCTCAAGAAAAAAAAGAATCTTTTCAACATATTACTGCTGATTGACAGTGCACCTAGTCACCCAAAACCTCTGATGGAGGCATACAAGGAGATTAAAGTTGATTTTATGCCTGTTAATACAACATCTATCCTGCAGTCCATGGATTAAGGAGAAATTGGCTTTAAGTCTTATCATTTAAGAAATATATTTTGTAAGGCTACAGAAGTCATAGATAGTGATTCTTCTGATGGATGTGGGCAAAGTATATTGAAATCTTATGGCAAGGTTACAGCATTCTGGATGTCGGTAAGACGATTTGTGATTCATGGGAGAAGGCCAAAATATCAACATTTATGGGAGTTTGGAAGAAGTTGACTCTAACCCTCAAGGATGTCTTTGTGGGGTTCAAAACTTCAGTGGAGGAAGTAACTGCAGAGGTGGTAGAAATAAGAGAATTAGAAATGCAACCTGAAAGTGGTGACTGAATTGCTGTAATCTCCTGATAAAACTTGAATGGGTGAAGAGTTGCTTCTTATGAATGAGCAAAGAAAGTGGTTTCTTGAGACAAATGTACTCTTGGTGAAAATGCTGTGAACACTGCTGAAATGACAACAAAGAATTTAGAATATTCCATAAACTTAGTTGATAAAGCAGCAGCAGTGTGTGACAGAACTCACTCCAATTCTGAAACTTCTACTGTGGGTAAAATGTTATCATGCAGCATCATAGGCTACAGAGAAATCTTTTGTGAAAGGAAGGGTCAATAGATGCAGCAACGTCATTGTTGCCACATTACAACAATGACACCTTCAAGGTTGACTTATTTTAAGAAATTGCCACAGCCTCCCAGCTTTCAGCAACCACCACCCTAATCAGTTAGCAGCCATAAACATTGAGGCAAGCAAGATCCTACACCTGCAAAAAGATTATCGAGGAAGGCTCAGATGATCATCAGCATTTTAAAATTAAGGCATGTACATTGTTTTTTAAGACATATACACA